TCTAAAACACCAGCATCACCGAGCAGGGTTAAAAAAAAGAAAATTCTGGAAAGCTAGATTTGATACAGAAAGGACACTTTATGGTGAGCTTTTGCCTCAGTAAGGATAATGTGTCTTTGCTATTCTTTTTACAATATTTAATTTCCTTCTTAAGATACGTATACATACATTTAGAATCCAAGATTGTTATGCCCTTCTAGAAAACAAAGAAACAAGCATGCAGCACGCCTTACTGGACATGCAGAGCAGGCCAGTGCTCAGCATAAGTACGCCTGGTGGCATCCCTTTAAGACTGCACCTCTCTCTGTGTGTAAAGTACAAGCTAAGCCTCGGATGACGGTGTGGTGTTGTTAAGAAGCTTCCAGGGACAGCACTGGTGTGCAAGCTTGTGGCTTCTGCTGTTGGCTTCAAATTAGAGTCTTCCTCCTTCAAATGTACTACTGAGAACACCTCCCAAGTTTTACTTTGGGTAGCTGTGCTATTTAATATGGAAAAATTTCTTGGCACTTAGGTTATTTCTGGAGAAGCATTTTGTTATAACCCTTTATCTCATTTCCTTATAGCTAGATTTTGCAATCACTATCAATCATTTCTGACAATATATTGTCTTGAGAAAAAATACAGTACATTACAGAAGAATCAAGTGTCAAAGAATTAGGAGTAAAGGGTGCTTGTTCAAAATTTAAGTTTTCTTAACCAGCTGAATAAAGGTAATAAAATAAAGTCAAATACAAATTATAAAATATTCATTAAGAAAAAAGCCAGAATATCATTAAATTACTATATCGTATAGAATCATAAATTTCTATAATCAGGCACCACATTTGCTGATTCATAAATATACCTTTGGCTTAATCACCCCCCCTTTTCTGTAAGCAAAAATAAGTCAAAAGTAAATTACTGTCCTGTAAATATAACTGACCTAAAAATGTAGTGCTTGGTTTTCCACCTCCTTAACTGTTTTTTGTACAGACTGAGATAACAAGTTACTTTTATTTTTTCTGAACATTTCCAATTTTCTTAGTTTGCTTTCTGCTTTCATTCACTATTATTATCCAGGTCATTCTCCTCCTCACCATCATCATCGTCATCATCACCTTCTGACAAGTCAAAATCACTGAACCCCAGGGCCATGTTGACTTTCCTTCCCCTTCTCTTAGATGTGGTTTTGGAAGAATTCTGCTTGGCTTGCATGTTTATCTGCATCCCAG